CACACACACACACTAAAGAAACGCCCAACAAAACACTTACCAAGCTGTTGCTGCGCCCGTTCCCTAAGTTCTTTAATCTTGAGTTCTCCCACTTTATAGGCCACTGCCTGGCCAGGCCACGTGATGTAACGGTCAATTTCCACCTCCAGACCTGGATCAGATGCAAACACGAGTGAATCAATAAAACCAAAAATAAACAAACCAAACAATAGAAGTGGGAAAAAATCTTTAGCATGTTGATAGAAAGAGGACTGGACGAATGAAAAATATCAAGCTATATAATCAATCCATAAATCAACGAATCAACCAATGAACAAATTAACCAATCTATCAATTAATCAATACATCAAACCATCAGTCCATCTATCCATCAATCCATCAATCCACCAATCAATCAATCAGTCAATCAATCAATCAAACAATCAACTAGTCAATCAGTTAAAATCAGATAAGGAAAAAATGGGAAAGGAAAAAATAAATATCTCCCAGATCACTTAGCACAGTATTCGCAAACAAAACAATTTCAACGCGAACTGATATGTAGATAAAAACAACAGCAACAACAACAACAACAACAACAACAACAACAACAACAACAGAGACAGCAACAACAACCACAATAACAGCACCTGCAAAAATGAAAGCGTAAAAATGGGATGTTCATTCATCCCTGTCGTCATTCTCTCAAGAGACTTTTGCTTACTAATTTGTTTTAATTTGATATAAATTTCATAAACATGAGAGAAGCTGACCTTCTTTTGACTCTGAGGTGTGATCCCTGAAGAATTGCACAGCTCTTTCTTTTGTCCAACTGAAATGAAAGCCATACAAACACATTATACTCTATTTCTCAGGACCTGTTGTAATATAAGAATATGCAAGTGTTCGAGGGTTCGAGCCTCAGCTCGGTCCGACGTTGTGTCCTTGGGAAAAGGCACTTTACACCAATTTCCCACTTGACTCGGTCCTTTCGGAGATGGACATTAAACTCGGAGGTCTTGACTCTTAAATAACCTAATAGCGTTGATAGGGGCGCTAAATCTATTTCATTTCATCATCTTTTTCCACCAGAAAATGCAACAAGAGCTGAGTATTTTTTTACCTTACCATTTTCTTGAAAGTAATATTTGTAGCTGATTATATTTTTTAAATATTAAACTTTAGTGGAAAACTCAGCCATTCACAAAGTGTAAGCTTTTGCTCTATAAAAATGAATTCCCGATAGAGTATTATCCCAAATAAAACATGTCTTCATTTGCTTCTGGCTTCGGAAGTAAGGGTGGAATTTTTTTATACATTCTGAGATCACAAAGCTCAGTTGTACTAGAAACCTCACAAAAATAAACAAATAAATCTATAAATAAAGATTCAAAGTGATCTATTGGCCTCGAAAATATGTCCTTGACGCCTTTATTCAATCATAGTCACTTAAGTCATTTATTCCATGACCCCAGCAAACCACACCAAAATACTGGTAGAGAACATAGCTGACCCCAACCATGGGGTCGATTAGCATCGACGATTAGCGGCCCTTTTTGGTGTATCATCAATTGTTCTTAAGTGCATCCGTATTATGTATAGGCCTCGCGCAAGAATCATCTCAGATGGCACTAGGGCACAATAAATTAGTGTTACATTCCGTATTCATTTGACCACCCAAGATGTTCAACTCTTTCAACTCCAGTTTCATTTTCGTTTCCCTTACTTTTGTAGTGCATTCAAAGTAAGAGGCAGAGGGTGTTCAGTAAGGTATTGCTAACTTTCTTTAACATATTTATAGAAAATAAAGTTCAATCTTAATTTAAACATTCGCTTCCAACTTCACAATGTCTTTTCCTGACAGTTAATAAGCTTTGAAAATTGTCCACCTGAATCAATATGATCCGAGTTGGTTTTGTCGATTCCGTCACATTCAACGCGGTATCCCTTCAGATAAACGATTATCAATACACTTCCAAATCCGATGACGTAATATGTGAGCTGGCAGACAAGTCTTGCCTCCTAGCTCAAAATGCTCAAATAAATTATGCCACGAACTCAAACTTCATTTCAAATGAAAGCTAAGATTGTAAGCAATATCTACCTTTATTTTCACACATAATCACCACCTCTGACAACATAGTTGTGCCAATGAGCAACAAGCCTCAATAATCTAGTCAAAAGCGTCACAGAAAACAAGAGACAATCCGTACAATGCAGGCATAAAAATTTAAGTTCTGACAAAACTCAAAATTACATCCTAAGCTTTTAATTTGTGTAAAGTTTCTGTTCCTGATGTGATAATTTCAGAAAGGAGGCAAAACGTTTCAGTCAGCCTTTGTAGTATGCCGAAAAAGTTGTTTTTTACAAGAAAATGTAGTATCATCTCATAACTTTCCCTTATCAAAAGTTAAAGAAAGTCTTACTTGAAAGCATGGATGCCTGAATCTACTACCAGCCGACATGCGCGGAAGATCTCAGAATCATAGTAGCCCATTCTGAGGAGAAAACATACACAAGAAGATTAAAGTAAAGAAATCATTGCCTGGAAGTGTAAAAGAAAGGGAAACGAGCATATAAAATCATTCATATCATTCAGAAAAATTGTTTTATACTGGCATGTTATAAAACAGTCCATATTAAGATCAAATGCTGGAAGCGTCGCTCTAAAAGCTAGCCATTTCTAGTCAATGTGGATAAGAATTTTTATAAGAATGTTTTTGTTGTTTGTTTTTTTAAAGAGTTCTGCCGTGTATTTTTTCACCTCAGGAATTTACCCCTTACAACTAGCAGCCAAAACGTGACATCCAAACTGTTTGGTGTTCTTGTGGAAATTTGGATTGGCCAGTTGCTAAAGGTGCAATGATATTGCTTTATTTAATAAATACAATAACTTCTACAATTAAATCAGACTATCAAGGACTAAAAACAACTTGCCTTGGGGCAGAAAGGTTACTCAGCCAAATATTCCAATGAATAGAGAGTTCACTTCTCGGTTTAGCTTTTAAATGTACCAGTCAAAATAAAACAAGACTTCTTATCAAATACTTGGTAATGGTGTTCACGACTCAACGTCCATCTATCTATCTATCTCTCTATCAATCTATCTATCTATCTATCTATCTATCTATCTATCTATCTATCTATCTATCTATC